GAACCCTCTGGATGAAGCACATGCAGATAATGAACGTCAGGGAGGAGCAAAGAGAAAGACGCTGAGGTTGAAGGGCATTGGTGAGACAGCATGAGCAGGGGCATCAGAATTGGTAGTACAGAATATGAATTTCACATTGGGTCATATGGGAAATAATAAACCTTTCACATCAAGGGAGCAAAGCAATCCAGTTGATGTGTCTTAGGAGAATGTGATGCATGCTGCACAGAGAAGGGACTGGAAAAGAATGGAAAAGAACAAGACGCAGTGTGGGGCCAAAAGGAAATTGTTTAATAAAGGCAGGGGATGGTAGTACTTGTTTTAGAAAGTTTTGGTGGATGTAGACAGAATTACATAGAATCAAGATGAGGATCAAAGAAGGCTTTGAGATGGCCTAGCCATTGGAAGATGAGGACTAAGCAGCCAATTTTTATCAGTTTTCCCATGAATTATTGATAAACACCAATGTACTTCTTGTAAAAGAATCATGGAAGAAAGGTTTGATGCCAGGAGAAATTTTCAGCTGTGACAGTGGACCATTCAGGAGGATGTGGGAAGTAAAATCTCATTCCTGGCAAACTAGAGAGGTCAGATTGGAGGTGTAAACCTTGAACTCACCATAATCACAGTCAGAAACCACAGGAAGAAAAATCTACTTAGATGGAACTATACAAGAAGATGACAAAGGTTCCAAATATTAACCGAGAAAGGAATAAAAACAACGCAATCAAAAGGAGTAAAAAGGAAAAAGAAATGAGTATGGCATAACAGAAATGGAAGAGAGACTGGCAAAGACCACGGGATGATCCAGAAGTTCTAACAAAATATGAACTTGAATGCTCACTATATTTGGTGCCTGGTGGATTAGTGAATTTGGGACCAAAAACTACTTTTTTGGTGAAGATATGTAAGTCGAATAATCAGGTTGGAGCAGATTGGATCATATAAATGAGATAAGGGACTACAAAAATAGTATTGCAGATAATACTTTCTGAAAGTTTTGCTGAAAAAGAAGGAAGAGAAATATGACTGGACTAGACTTAAAGAAGCCATGGAGTCAGAAGAGTGACTGTGAATATATGCAGAATGTGAAATCCATTGCAAGTTGGTGTCTGCCTTAACCCAGGATCTCCAAATGCCTGAACAAAGGCATGCATGCAAGTGGTTTATGTCTGCATAAAAACTCAGAGAAAGGATATGGATGAAAAGGAAAGAAATGGAGAAAGGATAAAAACTAAATCAAGAATATATTATCATGGCCAGGCTTGATGGTATAGGTCTATGTTCCCAGATACTCAGAGGGCTAAGGTAGCTTCAAAGGCCTTTCTGGACTACAACCTAAGTTCAAAACCAGCCTGGGCAACTTAGAGACAATGCCTCCAAATAGAAAGAGAGAAGCCCTGCAAGGCATAACCAAGTGATAAGGCTACTGCGTGGGATTCATGAGGCCCTAAGTTGGTCAAGCCCAAGTACTATAAATGGGTGAGGGGATGCATTCGCAAATTCTGTATTCCAAACATATATGCTGTAGTATACTACCAGACAGTTGGAGCTCAGTAATGCTACAGTCCTCTAAGATACAATGTAAAATATATTTAGAATCATTCACAGATGAAACAGAAGAGTAGAGTGCCACACCTACCAGGATATGTCCACTTCAGTGTTAACTCCCAAGCAGTTCTGGACTTGTCAAGGCCTCAGAATGGCTTAACAGGATTCAAAAAATGCCAGCCTTAAAAGCAGCATCGAAGTCCAGGACAGAAAACGAAAGCCCATTCAGTACAGGTGAGGCAAGCATCTGTCATGTTAAATCTAACAACAGCCTATTGCCATGGCAACTGCTAGAGTAAAAGTTGAGCCAAGAGGAGGTGAAAAGGCAAGGCAGAGCTTGATAGAAAGCCTACCTTGCTGACCACAATCCACACACTTTCTAGCCTGGAGAGATCAACCGGCTTGTGTCTAGTTCATGCCAGACGTGACATGTAGACTCTCGTGGCTACTGGCCTCCAGACCTTCCTGCTTCTGCTTAACACTAATGACCCCAGACAGCAGGGATACCTGACAAGCAAATTAGCCAAATTAGAGTTTTGATATAGTCCTGGTGACAGAAACAAGAAACGTTGTAGAAACATCAAGCAATTAGCCCAATATTTTATGAGCACATGCTGCATTGCAGACCTATGCGTAGAAGAAGATTGTCAGAAATTATTAACTATGGTGGCTGCTCTGATGTCTCATTAGGAGAATACTGGAAGAATGCCGTGGGACGAGATCTAAAAATAGAGAGGGCTAGATCTGATATATGGGACTGTGTGGAATTGTGGGTCTCTTAAGTTACTCCAGTGCTCCCGGCAGCACTGAGAAGAATCTCATGGGTTCATGGAGAGCAATGATGAAAATTATTTTGGTAGACACTTCCAATTTCAAATACCAGCAGAAGCTAACACTGGGTCATAAGATGACTTTTATTTTCTTCTGTAAATGTCTCTCTATATTTTTCATAAGCCTCATATTAAGTAAATATATTACTTTGGTATGAAAAGAATATGTATAGTTTTTGAATAACCAAAGTATATAGAGCAACTAGTACTCTCACACATTACCGGTGAATATAAAATGGTATACCTGGTTTTTTTTTAAAATGTTAAACTGCTCTGTTTAAACATATGCTGGCCATCTGACGCAGAAATCACACTCCAAGGCATTTATCCAAGAAAAAGAAGAACCTATGTTGTCTCTCTCTATCTGTATATATCTATTGACCTATCGATCTGTCTGTCTGTCTATCCATTTATCTATCTAGGTCTCTCTCTCTCACTCTTCTCCCTTACCTGACAATCATATACTAGCATTTAAAGCACCTTTTATATGTGTGTGTTACACTATATGAACATATGACCATTGATGCATTTAACCACATTTTTTCCACAAAACTGAAGCCTCAACTGGGAAATAGATAAGCAA